GGCTAAGGCGTATGATAGGGTTGAGTGGCCGTTTCTTAGGGAGGCGTTGGCTAGGATGGGATTCCCTGAGCGTTGGATCAGCTTTGTGGAGGCGTGTGTGGAGCATTGCACGTTCTCGGTCCTGATTAATGGCAGCCCCACCGATTTCTTTCCCTCCTCTAGAGGCCTTAGACAGGGCGACCCCCTTTCCCCTTCCCTCTTCGTTCTTGCGGCGGACTACCTCTCTCGCTGCCTTGACGGCTTCATCCGCGACTCTCCCCATATGACCTATAGCACCTGTGGCTATGGTCCTACCGTCTCTCACCTCTCTTACGCGGATGACATCATTATCTTCACCCGGGCGGATGATGATGGACTGGTCGAGCTTATGCGCCTTTTGGAGCACTATGGCTTGGTCACCGGTCAGCTGGTCAGTGTGCAGAAGAGCACCTTCATCCTTTCATCTGCCACCGTGGACAGGTGGGCTCAGCGGGTCCACGACATTACTGGCTTTGCGCGTGGCGACCTTCCCATTACCTACCTCGGGGTCCCTTTATATAAGGGCAACCTCACGAGAGCGCTCTTTGCGGGCGTCAGACAGAGGATGATCGACAGGATCTCTGGTTGGTCGCATAGATATCTTTCTTTCGGTGGTCGGCTAGCGCTGATCAAAAGCACTCTTAGCTCTCTTCCGATTCACTTGCTTATGGTCCTCGACCCCCCTAGGTCTACTCTTGACGAGCTTGACCAGATTATGGCTCGTTATTTCTGGGGTTATGAGGACGGGTGTGGGAGGGGGAGACGTACTCACTGGGTGAGTTGGGACTCTATCTGCCGCCCCCTCCCAGAGGGTGGCCTTGGCATCCGCCACCTTAGGGACATTGTTACAGCTTTCTCATACAAGCTGTGGTGGCGCTTCAGGGAAGGAAAGTCGCTTTGGGCTCAGTACGTTCGCGGCAAGTACTGCCCTAGACGTGCCAACCACCCTTGTTGGGTCACGGCTGTTGATCATGATAGCAGACAGTGGCGGCGCCTCACTAGGGTCGGGAGGCGAGCCCAGGATCACATCTTTTGGGTTTTGGGCGGGGGCGATGTCAGTGTCTGGGATGAGTGGTGGGTAGGTGATAGGCCGTTGTCTAGGGATAGGCAGGTGTCGCATTCCCCCTGCCTGCTCGTGAGCGACCTCTGGACGGACGGATCGTGGGATAGGGGGAAGCTAGATAGGGAGTTGAGGGCTGGTGCGGGTTTTAGCGAGCAGTTATTAGATCAGATCCAGCAGATCCCTATCTCGGGGGACGGTTCAGATAGTATGAGATGGAGACTTACATCATCAGGTGTGTTTTCTACTACCTCGGCTTGGGAGCAGATAAGGCTGAGGGATCGGCCTAATCCCCTCTTCGGGGCTATCTGGAGTGACCTTTTTACGCCTACTATTTCGGTTTTCCTTTGGCGCCTTCTCTTGCGCCGGATACCCGTCGATACTGTGCTACACGCGAGGGGGGTCTCCTTCCCCTCTCGGTGTGTGTGTTGTTCTGAGACCGGACGCCATGAGACTGAGACCTTTACCCACCTTTTTCTAGAGAGTGAGATTGTGAGGAGAGTGTGGGACCATTTGCCACTTGGACTCATATATCCCTACCCACCACATACTGTTTTTTTGAGCTCCTGAGTTTTTTCTCACAGAGCACACACCTTAGACACGTGGGCTTCCTCATTCCTTGTCTGATCCTTTGGTTCACCTGGACAGAAAGGAATAGTGCGAAGCATAGGGATATTACTTTTATGTTTTCTCACATTGTTTTGCAGGTTGAGAGACACATTTGACTCCTCATCTCATTGGGCAGGCTCACGGCTCGAGACTGGACAGGCTGCACGCCACCGCACCGCTACATGGTGGCCCCACCAACGCCTGTTCGGACTCCTCGGGCCAGAGCTGTTGTTTGGCTTCGACCTGACTCTCCGTGGGTCAAGCTGAACACTGATGGCTCATTTGATCGCCACACTGGAGTTGCCGGAGGAGGAGGCCTGATTCGAGACCATAGCGGCGCCCTCATCACTGCTTTCCACGCGTCCATTCAGGCCTCCTCGAGCTACGACGCAGAGATTCAGGCACTACAGATTGGCCTACAGATTGCTGCCCATCTCTCTAGTCATATATGGATCGAGCTGGATGCTGCGGCTGTCGCCACCCTCCTGACTTCGGACCATCAGGGCTCGTGGCAGATTCAGCACCCACTTATGCGCATCAGAGATATACTTCGGTCAGTCCACCACAGGATTACGCACATTTTCCGCGAGGGGAACAGACCTGCTGACTACCTTGCCAGCCTTGGTGCCACCATACCCGATATACATACGTTCTAGACCGACACTGCTCCACTCCGCCTTCGCACGCTTGTTCGGATGGATCAGCTTGGATATCCATCTTTCCGATTTCAGTAGATTAGGTTTTCTTTGTTGTCATTTCATTAGATTCTCATTTCTTTTTCGGGCACCTGTTAACCCATAGACAGACTTTGTATTTGTTTCGCTAGTGAGACCTTGTAGACTGTTGATATTTTTGACCCCCGTTTTGGGGTCTTGATCTATGCACAGGTTGGGGATCCAGCCTAATCCCCCGCCCTCCCGGGGCGTTGTTTTGTTAAAAAAAACTTAGCAGCATCAGACAACTAACCTAGCAGCAAGAAAGAACAACTAAACTAGCAACAAACACAACTAACCTAGGCGGGATGAAAGAAATAACCTAGCACCGAAAGGCAACTAAACTAGCATGAAAATAATAACCTAGCAACTTCAGACTACAAACCTGGCAACTATAGACAACTAACATAGCAACAATAGACAACTAACCTAGTGGAATGAAAGAAATAACCTAGCCACAAAAAGCAACTAACCTTGCTAGAACTAACCTTGCAGCTTCAGACAACTACCCTAGCAACATAAGACAACTAACCCAGCAGCTTCCGATAACTAACATAGCAACTGGGTACAACTAAGCTAGCAACTCCATAGATATAACCTTGCAACAATATAAAACTGACATTGCAAGTAAAAATAACTAACCGCAACTAAATATATCTAACCTTGCAACTGAATATATCTAACCTTGCAACTAAATTTATCTAACATAGCAACTAGATAAAAAAAACCTTGCAACTAGAAACAACTAACCTAGTAATGAAAATATGTCTAACCTTGCAACTAGATATATCTAACCTTGCAACTAAATATATCTAACCTAGCAACTACAGACAAGTAAGCTTGCAACAACAGATAACTAACCTAGCAACTAGATAGGGCTAAACTAGCAACATTTAAACTACTCAACTAACTTTGCAACTTTAAGCAACTAAACTAGCAAATACAGAATATTAACCTTGCAATTCAAACAACTAATCTTGCATCAAAAAATAATATTTACATCAAAAAAGTATACAAATCCAAAAAAAAAAACATTGTCACTGAAATCAAACTACAAGTCAATTGTCTTTGAAATGGACAGTCTTCACCCTTTTGGCAGGTTTCTTCTTTCCTCCGAACACATCTGCCTTCTTATCGTTTTCCGATTTCAGCTCATTGAATTCATTTAGGACAATTTCCGAGCAATATTTAATACGCCTTTGTTTCAACTGCTCAGGATTATCCTTTAGAAGACCAGAGTTCCAATTTTTAGCGCCACCTCCAAAATATGTTTCCATATGGTGCATGACGAACACTCCACAGTCTACTTTATTCCTCTCATCTCTCCATGGCATATCAAGTCTGACTAACTTCTATTTGAAAACAAGTTATCCACATTCAAGCATTCCTTGGAATTTCAAATATTCAACAAGTAGTTTTTTCTGAAAAAAAATAAAAAAAAAAAAGAACAATTATTAAAAATGTATTAACATTGCATGATATAATATTAACTGTATATGCATTGTTCTAAAATTAATTTAAAAATATTAGAGATTATTACCAGATTTATATGTTGATATTCATATTTTCCACATGTAAGGCCACCAACAGTAGAATTGTCCAGTATGTGAATGTGATATGCTTTCAAATCAAAACAGACCACATACAAGTGATCGCTCTTGCACACAGGAAAGAACATCTGATAAAAATAAAAATTATATAATATTAGCATGTTAGTAACTAAATAAACTAATCAATTCCAATTTAAAATGAAAATTACCATATCAACATCTTCAAATTTAGAATGAGTTTTTGATTTTCTAAAATCATTATCCAAACTCTCGATGAATAAAGAGGCTTTGGACTTCAAATCCCATTTCTCCCCAGTGACCGGAACACTGTAATTCTGGAAACAAATGAAAAAAATATGTTATAAAATAATAAATCAAATATAACTAAGCTAATCAAATATGTTATACAAATAACTAATCGAACACCAAAAGATATCAAACCTAGCAACAACGGACAAGTAACCTAGCAGCATCAGAAATAAAACTAACCTAGCAGCAGTATAGATCTAACGTAGCAACAAGTCATAACTAACCTAGCAACTTCTGATAACTAATCTAGCAACAACAGACAAGTACCCTAGCAGCTACATATATCTAACCTAGCAACATCAGAAATAAAACTAACCTAGCAGCAGTATACAACTAACGTAGCAACAAGTGATAACTAACCTAGCAACTTCTGATAACTAACTTCAATGTAAATTCAATAACAGGAAATACCAAAACAAGAAAATATTTAAGTAAATAAGAATAAAATATAGGGTTAAAAACTTTTTACCATCCGAACTATCGCGATTTTGGCGCATCACCATATGACTTTTTTTTTTAACAAACCACCATCTAAACTACACGGGCTTGTCAAATTGCCCCCTAAACCGGAAATAAAAGTGGTTTTGACTAGAAAAAATTGATTTTTGAGGGTATTTACATAATTTCATATATTTTTCAAAAAAAAAATTAAAAATGAAGGAAAAAAATGGGATTACCCCATCGCCATCGATCCTCATCTCTCGACAGTAGCCTCTCCGATGATTACCCTATCGCCAGCCCTTAATCCGCCGGCGTCCCCGCACCCCGTCGAGGAGAGTCCCAATCGCCGCCATCCCCTTCACCCTCATTCTCTCTCGCCATCGAAATTTCACCTCCCGGCGTCTTTCCCCAACCTGAAACCCGCCGGAGCCTCAACACCATTGCAAACCTTCGCCGCCACACCTCAATCCTATAAATCCATCAGAGAGCCGTCCAAAACCGTAGCCACCGCCCCAATTGGAACCTCCTCCAGAACAACCTAAAACTGTACGCCGCACCTCAGCCCCTGGAAAACCCTCAAGATGCCGACCAAATCCTAGTCGTCGCCGCCTCAATCCATGCCGCCCTTCAGCACAACCCAAAACCCTAGCCGTTGTTGCCCCAATCTGAACCCTCCTCCAGCACATCTGCAAGCGGCAGCACTTCAGCGAGACCCCACGCGTCGTGGTCATCACCTCCGGCAAAGGCGACAAGAACACCACCACAGCAAACATCGGCCTCTCCTTCACTCTCCTCGGCTTCTTTGTCGTCACCATTGACGCAGACGTCCTCCGCAACCTCGACCTCCTCCTCGACCTCGACGACGGTGGCGGATTCGTTCGGTCAGAACAATTGTGCTCGAGGTAATTCTTGTCGGGCCAGAGCTCGCAATCGAGCCCGGAATCAGAGTCCAGAAGGCCAGGGCAGTAGACGAAGAGGGGTGCAGAATTCTTGACATTTGCTTTTCTTCAATTTTCTTATTTTTTTTTGTTTTTAAATACTCGAAATTTCAAAAATACCCTCAAAAAACGGGTTTCAATGAGGTGAAACCGGACTTAAACCTGGTATAGTGAGCAATTTGACGAACGCGTGTAGTTCAGATGGTGGTTTGACAAAAAAAAAAGTTCATATGGCAAAGCGCCAAAATCGCGATAGTTCGAATAGTAAAAAGTTTTTAACCCTAAAATATATAAGTAAACTTACACTAGAAAATGTTGATGCAAAAAATCTCAACGGCTGGCCAGGTTTTCTGGATTGTTCTCTTAAGTTCAAAATTCTGGACCAGGTATCAAGTACAGAGACACTGACATATTCATCTGATCTTAAAGACCTGAGATCTTCTTTCATTAAAATTAGATCCCCATTCTGAAAATTTGTCTCATACCTGACAGCACAAAAATAAAAAAAGAACAATAAAATATAAATTTGGAATTAACAAATGCAATAAAATGTGAAAATTATATTAAATTTCTTAAGTATGAAAATATACATTGTCTCCTGATCTTCATGCAATATCCAATTATATATTTCTTCATCTCTTGAACCTGCTTTTGATATGTTCATTTGTTTTGCAACATCTTTCTCTTTTGCTTTTTCTTTCCTTTTTGCCTTCTCCTCTTCTTTCTCTTTCTGCTTTCTTTCTTTCTCCTCCTTCTCTCTCTCTTTCAGCTCTCTCATTTTGTCTTCTCTCTCTTTCTTCTCTCTCTCTTGTCTATCCTTCTCCTCTCTCTCTTTCTGCTCTCTTTCTTTCTGCTGTCTCTCTTTCTCCTCTCTCTGTTTCTGGTCTCTTTCGTCCTCCTCTTTCCTCTTCTTCTCTTGCTCCTCCTCTTTCCTCTTCTTCTCTTGCTCCTCCTCTCTCTCGTTCCTTTCTCTCTCATTCTCTTCCCTCCTTTTCTTTTGTCTCTCTTTCTCCTCTCTTGCCTCTCTTTCTTTCTCCTCTCTCTTTATTTTCTCTCTTTCATGTCTTTCTTTTCTCTCTTTTTCCTCTGTTTCTTTCTGCTCTCTCTCTCTCTGTTGTTTGAGTTTCTCATCTCTCTCTTTCTTGACTTTGTCTCTTTCTTCTCTCTCTTTATCCTCTCTCAATTTCTTCTTTCTCTCAAGCTCTTCACTCTTTTTTCTCCTCTCTATTTCTTCACTCTCTTTTTGCTTTCTCTCATTCTCCTCTCTCTCTCTCATTTCTCACTCTTTCTCCTCTATGTCTTTATCCTGTCTTTCTTTCAACTGTCTCTCTAACTCTTCATCTGTTTGATTCAAAAATGCAACAACATCTTCAGAAACTAGTTCTCCAGTAGATGGATGGTCTTCACCAACTGGTGCTTGGGAAAATTGCCTTGAAACATCTTCTCTCTCTATCTCTTTCTCTTTCTGCTTCTCTGTGACTTTCACTTTTTCTTTTTCAAGTGCTTCTCTCTCTTTCTTCTGCTTCTGTTTCTCAGCCATAAAGAGAGAGAGAGGTTGGTTCTCTATGATCTCTGGCTCAACAGACGGTTGGGGGATAGAACCATCATGATCATCTCTGTTATTAGTTGAAAACTGCCTTGAAACATTTAGAATGTCCTCCCAACCTCTGTCACTCTCTTGGGACTGGGAGGACAACCCCAATCCCAATGAAAAACTGGGAACATCATCACCTTGTGTCTTCTTCTTGTATGCAGCCCTCTTCCCAATAGCATGCTCAATCTTCTCAATAGCTGCAATTGTTTCTGGATCATTCCAGAAAGCAGCTGTTTCTTCACTATCTTCAAAAGAACCTGTCTTCTAAGAAGATTGAGGTACATTAGGACTGACAAAAATAAGATTTTCCGTTGCTTGTTGTATCTTCTTGTAATTTAAATCTTCGGTCACTTCATGGGGGCATCTTCAAGCAAGTTTATAACATCAACATAATCAGTAGCCAAGCACATAACCTTGCTTAGAAGCTTGGATTTATAACCCTGTTTATACCTAAAATTAAACAGAGTGAACAATTATAAGAAAATATGGAGGAAAATTAAACAACTAACCTAGCAGCAATAAACAACTAACCTAGCAGCAAAAAACAACTAACCTAGCAAGAAAAGACAAAAAAAACAAACAACCAAATGCTCTCCCCTCTCTCTAGGTTTCTCTCTCTACAACATTTCCCTTCCATTTCCGACCACATCCACCACAATTTTCCACCGCCGGTCACCCCCGCCTAGTCGCCGCCACTGGCCGCCGCCTCAGGCGGCCTCTTAGGCCGTTCAGAGCGTCGGGCTTTGCTCCTGCTCCCTATCCTTTCCTCGATTTTCTCATCCTCCCACTCACAGCCATGCCATCCACCTCGCAAGACCCAGCCGCAAAATTGCCGATAACCTGAACTACGGCCGGCCAATCAACATCCACAACACCGCCGGAGCTCCTAAGTCTATTAACGTCACCGGAATTCCAACATCTAGTCACGGAATTTCTGGGCAAAAAACCCCGATTGAAAGAAGGTGAGCTCTCGGTTACCGAAAATCCGTGTGCTCTGTAGCCGGAACTTCAGATATTATGTTCGGAAACTTACCCTCGACATTCCGCTCGCCGGTCAACTCTCTCTAAGCTCCAGCAGGCGACGCGACATCGTATCCAAAACCTCAGCTCCAGCCTGTCGAGGATTCAAACTCAATGGCCGACAATAATCTCAAATCGGGGCCCAATCCCACCTCACCCTCAGGACCTTCTCAGCCCAATCGAGATCTCCCCCAGCCCACTTTGGCCCCCTTAACTACTGAGCCCACTACCTCTCTCTCTATTGAGCCTAAATCATCCATTTATTCCCAGCCCAAAATGTATTCGCATATCGCAGGACCAATCCCACAGACCAAGCCTGACTCTCAGGCCGAAATCTTGTTGGGTTCGCTAGTACCGTACGGGTTTTAAGCAGCGGAATTTAAAATTTTTCAAAATAAGTATTTATCTAATAAATACAACACCCGTACATACTAATTGCGAATTAACTGATCGTCATCTTTAAAACATGCATCATATACAAATTTTGATTTGTTATACTAAAGTAAATACAAATACAAAGTATTTACCGAATGTCTTGAACTCCTTCAACGACGATGTGGATTGTGGGAATCGATTCCCGGTTTGATAACTTCAACGGATTGAGGTTACTCACTTTAGGAATCCAAGTGTCTTCCCTCTAAACGTATCCACCCTATGAAACCCGGTTCCGACGACTTTCCTTCGCTAGTAGGAATGTCTCGGTTTTCTTGTATAGGAATATGTATGAATTTTATTTTGGGAAATTTCAAGAACTCTTTCTTGATGTTTATGAAGAACTATTCTTCTTTCTAACACTTAGAAATTTTAGGAATGAATTCACCTTAAATGCAAAACCATTTTGCATCTATTTATACTAAACATTTTAGCATAAAATAATCATCATTTAGTAATATTTAAATAAAATCAGATTTTATTTAAATAATATTTACTAACTATTGACTTTGAAAATAATAAATAATGTTAAGTGGTTCAAACCACCTTTAACCACCATTTTATTATAATCATATTTATTATTTTAATCCTTAAATCATATTTAAAGATAATAGAATAATAAATCTTGAGAATCTTTTCAAGACTTTATTATTATATTCATTTTCCCAATTTTCATCCATATTATAATAATCATATTATTATTATTTTGGTTTGGAAATTTAAAATCCAATTTTAAATTCCAACATATTAATTTAGTAATTACCTTAATTACTAAAGTAATATCCAAAATGTAATTAATCAATCTTATTGATTAATATATTCCTTTTAATTGACATCTAATCAAATTAGATTATGTCAATTAATTCTAACTCTTTAGAAATACAATTTTCACCTTTGTTCATAATAGGTGTGACCTTTTAGGTTCACCTTAATACTAGTAGTGGGTTTACAACTCTTTGTAATTTGAGTTAATCACATTAACTCTTATTCATGAATTAACCCTTTAATTCAAGAACCCACATATCATGGGAACACCTAGCAAGTAGCATGAATCTAGTATTAAGTGAATAGCGAGTAAACCTATTCCGATTACAACTCCATACATGTAAAATCCTTTCGACATCTAATTTCCCGATTAAGTCTTGGGTATGATTTTGTCGAAACCCAAATTGACTTAATAACTATGATTCTATTTCAAGTTTATTAACCCTGTTATGAATCACTATTCATCTCTGCCTTGGCCAAGGACTTTGGATTAATAACTATGAAACACATAGGAAATTCACTTATCTTCATAAGTGTCGAATCCTTTATTGGCCACTAACAAACTTCCATACATATTAACATAATACCCAACTTATCCCTTTAAACGATAGTGCTAGCTACCAAAAGGATAAATCAAAGTAGAATGTAATATGCACAAAGTTACCATTGTGCCTCAAGTCTTAGGATTAGTCATGTACTATTGTAACATGAAAATTCTTATTCGACTGAATAAATTCTTCATTAAGAATTTTCATACGGTCATGTTCAGTGAACTTGTTCTCTAACAAGCACCCACATAAATGTACTTACGTCTTACGCTAATGTTGATGGAATGCAACATTCTTGTCCAACAAGCATACAAACTATGTGCAAGTCTTTTATGGATTATTCGATATCCCATCTCGAAACATCCATCGACTTGGAACTGTATTTAAGATCACGGCTTTCAAGGTATGTTCCATGATCACCATCTCTATGCGCAACCATACCTTATAACCATAAGTGATCTAGGGATTTTATCTTAAGTGCAATTATAAGATAAATGCTTTCTCTTAAGATAAAGAAA